AATGCTTATTACAGGTACTGATAACTTCAGGTCGTGTGAACTGTAGCAACTAGTGAGACTAATAGATTGTTAGCATGTTGCTAGCGTTAGCAACTGTTAGCCTGCTAGCTTGGAATATTTTTAGTTGAATTTAAAAACCAAAAATTTTTTGTTTTGCTGTTAAAATTTTCTCTGAATAGATCTAAACACATTTCTTGATTTGTTTTATTGCTTTTAGCATATTTATAATGTAACTAAAACCCATTTACTTAGTATGAACTTCATCTAGCTAACAGCTAGCTGGTTGCTACTAGAATGGCCTTTGTTAGCTAAATTTAGAAACAAAAATAGAGCTAAGAAGGATTTATATTTGTAGTATGTAATAACTAATACATTTTACAAGCTGTCTAAAATAATAAATAATAAAAATAAAAATAATCACAGATTAGCTAGTGTCAGTTTTGTCATTTACTTTACTTGAGATTTTTTATAAATCTTCAAAATCATAAATATAACATAATAATGGATTACTAAATTCCCTCTGTGTGCAACATTTTGTCAAATATTTATGTGAAATGTATAATGCCAGGTTGATTTTTGAAAGACATCAAAGGAATACAAGTGGAGATTTCACTTTTGGACTGAATCTGTTTCAGAGAAAAGTCAAAGAAATTATGTAAGATGAAGGTGTGGAGGTGAAAGATGTTTGATTTGGTTAGTGGTAGTAGTTTGGTTCTGACTAGAAGAACTAACAAACAGAAGCTTGGGCATGCTTTGGCATAAAACAATTGTTTTGTTAATTAAAACCATAATCTTTCATCTGGTTTTAGTAGGATTTGGAGTTAATAAACCCATAAATTTACCTGATTAACCTTCTCACAATCAAATTAAAACCATTATTAATATAAATATCTAAACAATGTATTTTTCTCTTAAAAATATTCTATTTAGTCTTTACAGAGGTGCTTACAGATTGTAAGGGCCAAGCTTGATTATCTTTACACTACTAGTTCAGTGTTTCCCCTACCATTAATCAAATGAAATCACTGTCAACAGAACCGAGCGCTCTGCCTGCCAAAATTTCAGTGGCATGCAGTCTTGAAATCTTGTCAAGGCCAGTAATCTAGGGGGAACACTATAGTTTGTCATAAATAGTCCACAGGATATTTCAGTATTATGTATTTCTTGTTTTTAGATGTTCATGGACAACAAAAAGAGACCAGCAGGTCCCTCCAGCTCTGGAAGTTTAGTATTTTGGTCCTTATTCTCACGGCAACCAGCCAGGGTCTTAATTGTAGACGCACTGCCACCCTGGTGGTCAGGGATGTGCACAGTTCTTTGTGACGCTCTGGATAACGTCCTGTCTGTGGCATGCAGTCTGGATGGACCCTGTAGGATTCCACTCCTCAGCTTATATGCCATCAGCAGACAGCAGGAGTGTCTACTACCCTTTGTGGTAAGACAAGTAATGATGAACATTTTCCAAAATCTATTCCTATACAGTTTTTGTCCCATGCCTGCAGTCTCTTACCCACTTTATCTTCCACTTTTCTCCCTTTTTATTATAAATTTGCTTTCTGTTTATAGCAAGTTCGAGGTAATCTGGCCCGGCTGCATTCCTGCGTTGAAGAACTGAGGTCCATTCCAGGTGATGGCTGTGTCAGAGGAGCAGCCAGAGGAGGTGATCTGCTGCGACAGGCGGTGCTGGACAGTCTGCAGCAGTTTAAACAATACATGAGACATGCTAGCACTGGCAGCCAGGCCTGCAGCAATGCATATATGGAGGTGAGTACAGACAGCATCACCACAATCAGTAGACGGATTGATGCAGGATAATGATTAGTTTAGTTAATAATGCTGGTGGTCTTAAAGCCATGCTTTAGATCATGTTGGGTTCTTCTGTGGATTACATTTTATTTGATCTGATGACAATTTTTGGTTCAATACGAGGATGCACATGCAAGAGAAACACTCTGATGAAGAATTTCCACGAGTTAGGGGTGCTACAGTTCGTGAAAGCATGTGCGAAGTCTCCAATTGTAACCTTGTAGAAAAAGGCAGGTACTTTTGATGTATGCAAAGCAGGTGATTGAATTAACCATTTGCCTGCCATTTGTTAGCTTCAGTTACTCGGAACAATAAAGTTGAGCCTGTGAAAAAAAATCAAATCATGCTTTTGTCACAAATCACTCCTGAAACTTTTCTCAATGCACTATACCCTGCCTGGACTCTCTTCTTCACCTCTTTTCCACATTCCCCAGTTTCCTGGACATTTGACACCAAGTACTTGAAGTCCTGCACCTTTGTGACCTCTGCTCCTTGTAGCCTCACTGTTCCACCAGCCTCCCTCTTTTTCACACACGTGTGCTCTGTCTTACTACGGCAGGCTTTCATTCCTCTTCTTTTAAGTGCATACCTCCACCTCTCCAGGTTCTCTTCCACCTGTTCTCACCACAAATCACAATGTCATCTGCAAACATCATAGTCCACGGGGATTCCTGCCTGACCTACATATCGAGGATAAAGACAGCAATCTATGGTGGTGGCTTTTCCAGAATCAAATGTAATTTCATTGGAGAATGCAGCTACCTGTAAGATATCAGCTTCATTTAACCTACTCTAAGAAGTAAAGATGTTCAGGATTCAATTCAATTCAATTCAATTCAAAAATACTTTATTAATCCCAAAGGGAAATTGTTGTTGTAACTCATTATCCTATTTCATTAAGAGATGTTATAGATGCTGATGCTGTAGACAGGAAGGATCTCTTGTAAAGGTCCATCTCACAGTGGATCCTAAGAAACTGGCTGCAGATGCCGTCCGATCTGTCCACCCAGACTCGGCTGGCCTCTCGGTTCCCCCGGGCTATAGGACCGCTTGAATGCTGGGCAGAACTCCTACCAGAGCGATGGCCACTCCTCCCAGCAGTCTGCCGAGCTCCTCATTGCTGCGGACAGCCAACTGTAGGTGCTGAGGGACGATCCTGTCCTTCTGCTGTCATGAGCCGTGTTTCCTGCTAGTTCCAGGTTCTCAGTGATCAGACACTCGAGCACAGCTGGCAGGTAGATGAGAATGCATCCAAAGAACATCTTTTTCAACTCATTTGGGATTTGAGGCTGTAGTTTAGATATTATTTGAACTTTGGACATGTTAATCAGCTGCTGTTGGTTGTAGAAAACTGCCTTGTTGCCATGGTTACGCATCATAACAAATGTCCAAAAGTAAAAAAGTTTCAGTAAAAATCCTTCCAGCTGCACAGCATCTGATACCAGAGGAAACAATCATCCAAAAAATGTGATTTACATCCAGAAAAACAGGAATTAAAGTTTCCAAAAGCAAAATCTCAGAATGAAAGTAACAGAGCTGCTCCAACATGCAGCCACCTGGAGCGGCGCAATTCTAGAACTATTCAGACATCAAATGAGATGTGTGAACTTCTTTTAGTTTTGTGTGGCTGTCTCATAGATCTTGTTTTCTATTTATCCTCAGTTACATTTGGATTTCAGTTAATAGATTTGTAGTCAGGTGTTTTTTCTGTCTACTTTTGTTAATCATGCTTTATGTGAGGCTAGATATTTCCTTAAACAGATTGCACATTGATCTGCAAAACCTTTAATGATTAAATTATCAATGAGGGTGGAGATGCTGGGGATTGAACCCAGGACTTCATGCATGCGAAGCATGCGCTCTACCACTGAGCTACATCCCCACACGTTGCAACTGTCATAGTATGTTTTTAATAAATAAAGAAAGAACAGCGCTGTCTTTCTAAGCATTTTTTTTCTTGTCATCTTCTGAAACAGGATTACTTTTTGATTTGATTTCAGACCAAAATTAGGTTTTATACATGTAAAAGCAACACTGTTGGAAGGCTGTCCTCTAGATTTTGGAATGTTTCTATGGGAAATTGTGATATTTATTCTGTAGAGCATTAACAAGGTCACACAGTGATGTTGGGCATGGTAGTTCTGGCTCTCCATCTTTGTCTCAGTTCATCCCACAGGTGCTTGATAAGGCTAAAGTTGGGGCTCTGTAGGGGCCAGTCAGGTTTTTCATCAAACCTTGTCTTCCTTGTCCTTGCTTTGAGCTCTGGGGCACATGTTGGATTAGAAAAAGGCTTTCCACAAAGTTTTTCTATTGGGAATCTGACCATGCCCATAATGTCTTCATATGCATGAAGTCTGCTGATCATGGAGATCAGGACCTAGTCCGAACCCTAACTGAAAAACCCAAATTCAACAATTAATAGGTCTGTTTTAAACATTGGATCAAATTCATTCAACCTTTACTTATACAGCTTAATCTCATTTAGTCATGGGGACTCATTTACAAGAGAGACCTGTTTTAAACAAAGAACACAGATGAGGTACAGACAACAATAAACAATCATATAAAATGAAAAGTAAATAAAATAAATGAAATAAAAACAAAATTAAATCAACTACATTATAAAGCTAAATAGTGAAACTCTCCATAGTAGCTGTTAGACTTATGATTTACTTGTAAAACTGATGGAGATGCTGGGGATTGAACCCAGGACCTCATACATGCGAAGCACACGCTCTACCACTGAGCTACATCCCCACAAAATGTAAATATATTTGTTGTTCAACTGAGATTGAACTTGATTATTCAGCGTAAACGTTTCGTGGATGCATGTTGGAGCTGCATTTTCAGCGTCTTCCAATAAGTTATATATGAATTAAAATGCAGCTCATTAAATGCGTCCATTTATTTGCCGTTTCTTTTCACTTTGGATTTTCAGAATATGTGCTAGAAAGCTACATTTCTGTAAACACAGTAGTTGAGGTTTGTTAGAAACATTACCCTCAATGCATGATGCAAGCCAGGAACTCATGTATGTAAAGCATGAGCTCAACCAATGAGCTACATCCCCACATACGTCTGAAGTCAGTGTGTGTTATAGAAGACAGTGGTAGACATTGTCTGTTGCATATTTTTTTATTTTGTCATCAACTGAAATAGGATCGCATTTTTGATTTTGATTTTTGAAGAAAAACATCAACTAAATATACACTAAGCACTCATGACATAAAACATTGAACATCAGCACAAACATGAACATGAGTCTGTGAGCAGATGTGCACGCATGAACACATCAACATTGAAACAGATCAGCAGCAACATGAAACAGATCAGCAGCAACATGATATGGTTTTTCACAGTGATTATTCTGGTTAGAGATTCATGAGTCTAACAGCCTCAGGGTAGAAGCTGTTCCTCAGTCTAGTGGTTCTACACTTAATGCTCCTCAACCTCCTTCCTGAGGGGAGTGGGGCAAAAAGTGTGTGTGCTGGGTGAGTGGGGTCCTTCATGATGCAGGTGGCCCTCTTCCTGCATCTGGAGGTGTAGATGTCTGTGATGGTGGGGAGACTGACTCCAACAGATTTCTGTGCAGCCTTCACCACTCTCTGCAAAGCTTTTCTTTCTGCAGCTGTGCAGCCTCCATGCCACACATTGATGCTGGAGCACAGGATGCTCTCCACTGCACACCTGTAGAAGGAGGTGAGGACTGAGCTTCCCAGACCAGCTCGCCTCAGCCGTCTGAGGAAGTAGAGTCTCTGATGAGCTTTCTTGATCAGGCTGGTGGTGTTGTTGCTCCAGCTGAGGTTGTCATTCATGTGTACACCCAAGTACTTGTAGCTGGAGACCACTTCCACCGCAGATCCTCTTATGTTCAGGGGGGTGTAGGTGTTTTTGTTCCTTCTGAAGTCCACAATCATCTCCTTTGTCTTCTTCACATTGATGTGAAGGTTATTCTCTCTGCAAATGTGACTGAAGGGTCGAGGTCAGGTCTGTCAATTTTTTCATCAAAACTTGTCTCTATAGTTCTTGCTTTGAGCAAAGGGGTACAGTAATGTTGGACGAGAAAGGGCTTTCCATAAAGTTTTTCAGGTCCAGTTCAAAACATAACTGAAAAACTCAAATTTAACATTTAATAGTTCTGTTTAAAACATCAGATCATATAGAGAAGCTCTTTATATAGTCACTCTTACACAGCCTTATAGAGTATTGTATGTTTTTATGTCAATGGAGATGCTGGGGATTGAACCCAGGACCTCATGCATGCGAAGCACACGCTCTACCACTGAGCTACATCCCCATAAAATTAAGACAAATATGTTGTCCAACTGAGAATGCACTTCATTCTGAGCGATTTTGTGCATGTGCATTGGAGATGCATTTTCAGTGTCTTCCTGTAAGTTGTATATGAATTAAAATTGAGCTCATGACATTATTTCTGTTAGTTGCCATTTCTTTTCACTTGGGCTTGTCAGGATTTGTGCTAGAAAGCTGCATTTCTGTAAACACAGAATTCCGGTCTGCAAAGATTGTGGAAGTTAGAAACATTTATGTCCCATAAAAAGCTGGAGATGCTGGGGATTGAACCCAGGACCTCATGCATGCGAAGCACACGCTCTACCACTGAGCTACATCCCCATAAAA